AAATTACTATAAAATTTTTATAAAAAGCTTTTTTATAGTTATACTTACACTTAAACTTTACTTTAAGCTTTAAGTAATACTTAATAAATGTATTAGACTAGTTTATGCTAATATAGCTTATATTACACTTAGCGTGTAAAGAATTAGCTATATTAGCTACAGCTGCTAGCTAGAGGGGAAATCCTTGCGCATCTAGCTTAAGTATATGCTAAATAATTACCTGCTCTTTGTTATTATCTAGCTTCTATAAGTTAGCTATATAATTAGCTTAGAAAGGTTGTCTAGCGCGTTAGTTGCTTATTATCTTTTAAGAGACCTTATAGATAGCTGCAGCGTGTTAGTTAAAAAGTGTTGTGTCTTATTTAAAAGCCTAAAGTGTAAGCTGCATCTAACATTCTTTTAACACGTTTAAGTAGTGTTGTTAGGAATGCATTAGTGTAAGAAGAGTAGTGTGGTAGGGTCTTAGCAAAAGTAAGCAACTCAGGTGTGTGAGCAACTTGCCTATGAAGTACGTTAAAGCTTTGTTCTTATAGTAATCTAAAAGCTTAACATAGAGTATAGACTTTTTAGCTTTTATACCTTAGCTGTAAGAACAAAGCTTTGTACCACTACGCTAATACAACTAAAAAGGTGCGAATAATCAACCAACAGTTAATTGTTACGTATAGAATAGTATATATACTCGTCTCACGTAAGCGCTATCTTAGCCTTACATAGCTTCTTATTATAATTAGCCTTAGCCTTAGCTGCTTGCGGCTATATTAGACTAGAATAGACAAAGAACAATTAGCTAGATACAGCAAGGCATAGAAAAAAGAAGTAGCGTATATATAAACAGTAGCTAGTCTCTATCTTAGAGAGTAGTAATTTGTCTAAGTCTTTTACCTAGATTCTAACTATTTAAGGTTTAAGTAAACTTGTCAGATATGCGCACCTACTGTCAAGATAGGAGGAACGTTTGTCGAAAGCTGCTACATAGTACGAGCAATAAGCTTGAACAGTATGTTGCTGCAAATTGCAGCATGTTGCAAGCTGGTCGCGCATAGGGCTAGTGCGCGAGGGACTCGGATCGGAAAAACAAAAGCCGAGCAACACGAGTAGAGCAGAAAAAGGATCGATAAATCAATACAATCAATCAATCATCCCATACATCATATCCAAACCCATCATTCATCTCAGGAAGCCTAGAAACAGTGCTTTAATCTGACAAAACTACACTAGAAAAGAGCAGTTTAGTCTGTTTATAGTATATTATACACTTATTATTTTAATACTCCTGTACCTCTGTTAAGATTTACTCTCTCTCTCTCTCTTGTAACTCTGCTATGCACCCTCTACCTTGTATTCTCTCTCTATGCCTCATGCTTCCTGTTTAATACCCTTAGATAGGATAGGTTAGTGTAATAGCTTAACGCAGCTAGCAAATACCTAATAACAGTGTTAACTTTAGGCCTAGTTTAATGCCTCTTGTAATACAGCTAATGTGTCGCAGTTTACTACAATTTGCTGTAGATTGCTATAATTTGCTACAAGTTGCTGCAATCTACTGCAAGTTGCTGTAATGCACTGCAATTTCCTGTAATCTACTGCAATTTCCTGTAATCTACTGCAATTTCCTGTAATCTACTGCAATTTCCTGTAATCTACTGCAATTTCCTGTAATCTACTGCAATTTCCTGTAATCTACTGCAATTTCCTGTAATCTACTGCAATTTCCTGTAATCTACTGCAATTTCCTGTATTTTACTACACTTTACAATAGTTTGCTTACCCTTTTCTAAGGCTACTAGCTAATCCTTAGCTAACAGCTAAACACTAGCCTCTTATACTCTTACACTGCCTTACACTTTAATCCAAACAAGAGAATAGAAAAACTCTATATAAAATTCTAAGAATAGAACCTTTGTATATAGACTAGATACTCAACCTTTTTTTAAAGAGCAAAAGAATGCAATCTTTAAGAATTAAACTTGCGTTACTTAGATAATACTCTACCAACTCTGTCACAGTCTAGTTGTATACCACTAGACTATTCGCTAACGTAAGAGGGTACAGGTGCTAGAATATTAATTGCGTCTAGAGTAACATATACATACTCTTTTATATAATAGGCTAGTGACTAGACTCTATCTAGATCCTTAATCTAGCCTGCTTTAATCACTTCTATAGCATATCTTTACAGCATCTGTACAACTAGATGTCGCTGCAAGACTATACTAAACTATATAGCATTGCATGTAATTCTTAGCAATTCTTAAACAGAGGTAAGCTAAAATAATATAGCGTAGTAGTAAAATGTCGCTGCAAGCTAATGGGAGCACCAAGCGCAGTTATGTGACTAACAGTCGAGCCTGCGCGGTCTCTGCGATCTCTTGCAGCACCGTCTGCAACACCTGCAGCTCGACGCCTAGATGTAGCTGGAAGGCCGCACTAAACTATATAGTATTGCATGCTATTGTACGCAATTATCAAGCAGAAGCAGGTCAAAATAATGTAGCGCGGTGGTGAAATGTGACGGCGCGCTAGCCGGGCCTGGAGTATTTACTACTTGAGAATGTACTTGTTTGAAACCCTTCTGGTTTTGCGCTGAACAGCCTATATCACCCTGTGGAAATTCAACTCTATGATCAATGTTTCGAAGCTCGCCTCGCCACATGCCCAGCCTTTGCGCTAAGTAACAAGAAGAAGTTAGCTTGATTCTTTTACTTTGTAGAAATTGTTCGCATTACAGCCGTGAATATATTAAGGTTTTGGTCTAGCCAAGTCTAACGCATGCTCCTATAGCGGAAAAGCTCCTTGTGTACCACACCGTTCTTCCAATCTAACCATGACCGACGAGCGATCCCGCCGCCGATTCGTCGCGGTCAAAAAACTTCCATGTCCACTTTAAACACTGGGATGACCATAATGAAATAAAATATATGTATCTTCCTGAATGGTACTTCATCGAGCAATCGCGTGTACTTCGTCACATTCTTCAAGCCATTCCTATGGTCCGCCATTTATCAATATCTCCCCAAGTCCGCTAAGCTCGCCTTCTTTGCCAACTCCAGTTCCATCTCAAATCTCTCATCGGAATTGAGGGCATGAGGAGTCAGCCTGCCCGAGCTGCTAGAGCTCCGACTCACGGAGTCGTTGACTCTAGATGTACTGGGAAAAGACGAGGGATGTGGCTGAAAGGGATTGGTATGAGGTATTGGGGTGCCCCTAAATGTGGGCGCGGGTTGTTGCGAAGGATTCTGAGGTGGGGGGATCTGGAAGGACGAGTATTGGTCGGTATATCTAGGGGCGGTGCTAGGGGGTGGATTTGCAGAGGCTGGGGAGTAGTACGACTCGTAGGAACTGGGTGGTACAGCCTTGTAGGATGCTTCTTCGTTCGTGGTCGGCGTTGGATCTAGATTGAAAGAATAGGGTCTGGTGGTTGGCTGCTGCGATGGATTTGTCGAAGGACTCCAAGAGCCCTGTCCTGCTCTCAGACCGGTAGACCGGTATCTAGAAGCAGAAGAAGAGCTCCTGCTGAAGTCAGATCGATTTATTGAGGGAGTGTTCTCCACGACTTCAGGCCCAAGGGAGGAGCCTAGGGTTTTTGATTCTGAGTTGCCCCCGTATTGGCTAGTATGGGTGTGTGTCGAGTCAGGGAATTGTGGGTATGGATCTGGGTTCACAGACGAGTCGCCAAGTGTCGGAGCGGTAGTCGAGACGTGTGAAGATCTTGAAAGCGAGGGTCTTTGATAACCCACATCAGTCGGGCTTACAATTATAGAGGGTGTCTTTCGACGGGAGCGATTGCCTAGAGGAGCCGGTAAGATTTCAGAGCTGTCGTTGCTAGTTCGGCTTTGTGTATCAATCTTCCGATGATGTCTAGCTTCTCTCATACTTGAAGGTCTTTTCAATACCGAGGCTCTGGCGCTGGACTTTGGCACTACCTCGTCTGACTTTCGGCGGTTTTCGGAGCTGAGGCCGTGGAATTGTGTGCTGACATTTTGGTCCGAGACGCTCCGAATGTGAGAAATGCTCAGCTTTTTCCCTAGCTGCGATAGCCTCCATTTGTCGCTCTGTTCCTGGTCGTGGGTAGTGGTTATTCGCCGACTTGTTCGTGATCTGCTCAGACCATGAATTTGTTCGTCACTTTCTTGCTCTTCCTCATTTCCGTCAGAATTTCTAGCTATAGCCACAATCAGGAAGAGTCACGTCAAGTATCTAGGGATATACACTTACTGATCCATTGATCTTCGGATAGGAAGTCGCGAGGAAATCCGCTAATTGAATATCCTTGAACGCCGTTAGACGAGGGCCCGAAAAAATAAAGCCGTATGTCGGTCTTGCAGTCTGCGGTGGACATAATGTTCGTCTCCCCGATATTGAACTCCCCATGACTTGCCATTCTCTCAATCACAGCCTCCGTTAGTGAAACCTGTTACGCATTAGCACATTGGTGTAACACTCTTTACACTTGAACATGCCTTTTGTTTTGCATGTTGTGGAAGACCATTCCAAATATCAAAGTACGGTTGAAAATCTATACGCTGTTGCTTTCTAAAAAAGCGGCCCAATTGTTTGAGCCATTCCGATGATTCCTCAAAACGACACTGGAATTTCCCTATTGAGAAAGTCAGCTTTTAGGGGCCGGATACTTTCATAAGAATGCTCACCAGATACCGTGGCTGTTCCTCCCGTTCGATTCCTTGTAGCCTTGCCCTTGTCGAAATAGAACGAGCTCGCCACGAGGCGGAACACAACCTCTTCAACCTTACATTGTGATTCATGGCTCACCATTGTCCGGGAGATATCAGATTGCAATTTTTCTACCTCCCCTTTGGCATCCAGTGGAGGTGGTTGACGTCCGATATCAGGGTTAATTCGGATATATCGACTCCCTTCTTCGCGACTGTTGTTTTGTTGAATTGCTACTTCCATGAACTCGCTCCATTGGCGCTCAGAGTTGATCACGTCTTCGAATCGATTGAACTGCGGGCGTTAGCATTTTTCGATCTGAAAACTGACTTAATGATTGACTTACCGCGGCTTTTCCCACCTGCCACAACCCCGCAAAACTTCTCCACCTGCTGGACGCTTTCAAGTTTGCCGGATTCGAGTTGCTGGAGCTTAATTCGCTTTGCATAGGTGTGTCAGAGAAAAATTATTAGCGGTGAAAATCACCCAACTCACTGTTTTGGTAGTTCTTTAATTTTGAGCTCCTTGTCAACCTGCTTCTGGTCTTGTGACGTTCCGATCGACAGGAATAGATCAGGCGGCTGGTTCTGAACATCGGGCCACAATAGTCGGCGTTCCAGATGCCCAACTCTTACTGGGTTGTTATTGAAAAAAGCGCCATCGAGATAAGTTGCGTTTGTTCTTGGATGGACAAATGGTTTAAAATATGGGGCGGCAGCTGCAGTGGCAGCACCAGCTTCCCACATTTTCATCTCAAAATACGGATCGTGGGGCCGTAAAAACTCGTAGTTGCGCTGGCCACCTTTGCGGCAGTAGTTGGCGATTATTACTCCTTTGCTAGCGATTTCATCGGTTGTTGTGACTGCAACTCGGGCAGCATAGGACGCATCGCTATCTTGGCAGCCGCCAAATAGATAACTGTCACCAAGAGACTCTAGCAAAGCTTGGTACAAAGGTGTGGTTTCCCAAATACTGCCGTGGTGAGCGGTAGCTAGATGCTGCAACCCCCAAATGTCATGGAATTCGCGAGGTGTGAACGCTTGGTCGCACAGGCGTTTGAACTGTTCGATGCATTTACCGACAGGCCACTGCTTCACTCCTAAAGCAAGAGCTATTATCCCTCCCGTACTAGAGTTTGTTAGTGCCTAAAACAGAAATTCAATGGATCAGTTGCAAACCTTGTGCCAACAATAAGGTCGAAAAAAGCCCGAATAGGTATATCCACTCCCAGGTTCCGTTGAATTTGGTTGAGGACTTCAAGTTCTACAATTCCGCGAATTCCGCCTCTAAGTAATTGTTAGGATGGCAGCAGTAATAAACAGTACATGGAGACTAACCCATCAAGTGATAAGATACGAACGCCAGCGAAGTCTGGTTTCATCCTAATCTTCCATGGCTGCGCCCACATGGTCTCGAAAGGGTGTAGCGGGCAAAAGGGCATTTCAATGGTAGTTTTCTTTACTACCCCAAATGACTTTATACAGTTCGAGCAGAGAACGTGCCCACATCGAAGTGCATGTTCTGGAGACTTCATGAGACAGCAAAGGCACGTCGCGTGGCTCGAGAAATGGGACGCGCCACCCACGTCCAAAAAGAAACGTGCGATGTTTTCCGTGTGCTGCTTCCGGATCGATATGAGGGGGTCCTCCAATTCCTCACCGGCCTCTTCCACTCGTTTCAAATCCTCCTGCAATTCGGCGAGTCTCGTCTTCAGTGAATTCATCCAAACAACCTTATACTTATCTGCAGTGAACTCTGACTGGTACTTCCCCGCAGCGATGATTTTGCCTTTTGCATTTTGATGCCCTTTCGTGTCATGGCGTTTGCTGACATTCACACAGCGACCTTTCTTATTGCTGAACTCGCAGGGCCAGTGCATACTGCAGAATTCTATGAGTGCATTTTCGAAATTCGGCAGATAGTCTCCGAATAGATCTTGGGGCTGGCCTACCCAAGCTGTTAGCTAGGAGGGATACAAATACCTAACTACGGGGTAGTACCTTTACGGAAGGTTGTGCAGTCGTATAGGAAGCAAGATGCAACCATGAAGCTAAGTTTCTCGAAAATCCACTGCCCAGTCTCATGTGGAGAACTCTCTTGGATGGCAATGGCCACACGGAGGATGTAGTCTCCCAGGTTTTGCGGAATTGGATTTCTTCGTAGGGAGTATACCTTGAAATCAAAGGGTCGGTCCAATTTCCTGGAAAAATGATTGAATGCCTGCTGAATATAGAAGCTGAAATCTTCCGCAGAGGAGAGCAACCTTGCTCGCTTTTTGCTCAAGTAGGCCTTTTCACATCGGTCAGCGATCGTTGTGTGAAGTTGAGACACTTGCTTGGACAACAGAAAGAGGTTCTTGTCGTCCGGTATGCGAACAACCTGGAATGAGGCATAGTAGCAATGGATCAAGTCTAGGATACTGTGGATGCGTTTATTCTTCCTTCTCCACTTGTCTGCGAGTTTCTGCAACTTGGGAACCCCGGTAACAGATTCCAGGACATGCTTGTTAGCATGTAATAAGGCATTCGTTGCGTACTGGACATTCCATGAACCAGAGTCAACGCGAACATCAGTAAAGTTTATGGCAATGACCGCATGGGGGAGTGTTCCCTGATTGGTACTGGCCTCTAATGACGCAAAGGCCCACTCGAATAGCTTGGTCAATACTGCATGCTCAAATGTCCTGAGGCTGTTAGCCTCTGCCAACAGCATGGGTTTGAATTGGGACTTACTTTGGGTTTCGAAGCACGAAAACCACGACATCCGAGAAAGTGTATAAAAGCCGTGGATATGTTTGAGTAACGGCATACTGACGAGTCTTGGTCTCGTCCGAGTTTGCCCATTCGAGTGGGCGGACCCGAAGACCCAGCCGCCTAGAATTATCTCCTTTTACAATCCTTTTGCAATGTGCCCCCATGGGGACACGCTCTCCCGCATTAAGCCCCTCACAATCGGCATATAGCATTGGTCGTTCGTTTCCCCAAGTGGCTGGATCGGAGTAGAGATGGACATCTGCAGACGTCGGCGTTGTGTCGTTGATCGGACTTCCGGTTACGGGAGACGGAAAGGAAGAAGCCGCATTAGGATCGTTCTTTGATTCCTCGTGGTCGATAAGCATCTTGACTAAAGTGCTTTTCCCAGCACCTGCTATTTGTTAGCTGTTTGTCGAAGAATCGTTTTGTGACTGCATACTTGTTTCGCCCACGAATGATACTAGTTGTGGATATTTCACTAGGTCCGCTCCAGGACTATTCGCCATCAGATGAGAAAATGTCTCGAAATCTTGAAGGAAGGGTCGGCCATCATCATATCGATCAATTCCTGTACTGGTGTAAGCCAATGAATGAGTCGTGTTGAGAAGAGACCTACCAAACCAAGTGGTATTTGTGTCCTGGTCATGCAGTTTTTCCAGTTCGTTCTGGTTTCTTGGAGGGTCTAATATTTGTTCCAGTCGCTTGCACCGGAGATATTGAAGATATGCTAACTTCTCGTGTCTCGGTGCACCAGGAGCGGAGTGGATAGGAGAGTAATCCCAACAGTCATCACACAGACAGCTTCGGCACGCTGTGCAGTACCACACCTTGCGAGACGGATTACCTAGCTTGTCGCAACGGCGATCCTGGCATATACCGGTTGCTATCTTTTGTGACGACATGGTCTGCACTAGATCCAAAGACTAGGGCTAGAATTTTAGGAATGAGAGTGCGAGGGCAGGTAGGCTGTGGTAGGCAGGAGCGTCTTTATAAGCTTATGAGAAGAGGCGTGAGTAGATGCTGAAGGGAGGCTGAAGGAAGGCTGAAGGGAACAGGTGCATAAGCTGATTGGATGAGCGGCTAGGAAGGATTCATGCGGGACTTGCTTTTACAGCCTTGCAGGATACACATGCAAGAGAAATACAGGAAGCTGAAAAGGAAGGGATAGGGCTACCTTTTCGTTATTCGCTTGACACTACAAAAACCCCTAGCTAGTTTAGTAAGGTTTGATTCAAGAACGTTACAGCAAGTTCGCAGTATCGGTGGACTTGGACGTACGGTTCCGTTTTGTTGTCTTGATCGCAAAGGCTGAGAAGTTGGCACTGTGGGTTTACGCCACTTACGAGATGTTGGGGCCGGGTGTTATCGTTTCCGACCCCGTGTGACTCAGCTATCGCCGAAGGAAAGCAGAATAAGCTTGAGAGCAGTTCCCATTTTGTCGACTAGACGATTCTGTTTCGGAATCTCGACGGCTAGGCTGAGACTTTGCCACTGTGTATTTCCCCCAAAAGCGAGAGGTGCCCATATCATCGCTTCCGCTACTGTTCAAACTCAGCTCTTAGCACTGAACCCTTGGAGAGGTAAGGCGCACTGAAATACCCTTCCCCTGAACTCACAACCCACCTCTCCCAAAATTCGCCCACCATTCGCACTTCCACAGGCACATGAAAAATCCAAATGGCACAATTCCATCCACGATCCCAAAAGGCGTAATAACCCCATCCCTATATCCTTGGTCCATTCCCCCTGGTGCCAATACACGATTCTTAGCTATCCCGTCGACTGATTCACCATCATGTTAACGTACGTAACAAGAGGTGAAAATAGAAAGCATTTGACCGTGTCGTGTGCGTGGTTTTATTGTCATCGTAAGGCCCGAAGAGCCTGAATTGAATGATCCGTCTGGTAGGAAACGGGAAATGAGGATTGAAGACAATCGTATCCATTGAGCTGCACTTCTTCATTGAAGCCTCAAACGCATCGAAGCAACTGGGTGGTACTCAACGCTCCCAGATATATTCAGCGAATTGGTCACGACACCAGAAACGCTCGGCTTATTTTCGACCACCGTTCTCCACACAGTCCAGTCATCAATCGTCCGCCTACAGGTACGGCAGACTAAAAGAAGAGAAAGGGCAACCGTGGACGGTAGCTGAGTTGTTATTCTTTGCGGAATTTCGGTAAGGGGATTGGCAAGATTTACCTTATCCATCGGAGACACCCGAGGGATCTTAAGAAGTGGGCCCTAGCTTTAAATACTAAATTAATTGACTAAAATAAAGTGAAAGGAAAGCACCGATGTTTATGAGAAATGGACCAGTGTTACTATGCCGCACCTGCGGCTTCACGTCCGTATCCCATGAGGTGTGAGCGAGAGAGATGGACACGAAAATAGACTAGGCGCCCGTATGATTCTATTCATTAAAAGGTAAGGTACAAGGCTGAACACGCCAAGACAGTTGCAGAGGTGAAGGAATGAAGTCACAAAGTCTTGGCAGCACCAACCCCAAGCAGGCAAGCGTCCTTTGGCGACCCACTTGCACCAACCGTGCACAAAGCCTCACCTCCCTGAAAGCATATCAACCACACTTCCGACACTTCCTTTCTACCAGCCTCAACCTCCATGACTGATTCCCTCCTTAAATAGCGTCTCCCACACACAATCTCTCCCCCAACCGCCATTGTATCCTTCTCTTCCGCCTACATCTCTTCAACACCGCCCCACAGTCCCACTCTAGCTCAGTTACAGCGATGAGCGGGGCTTAGAATCAGGCCCCCGGGCTACGATACCCTTCAAATAAGAAAACAATATATGACAGAAATCTTAATCGAACGAAGAACGCCGAATTGAGTAGGGCGGCATTCGCATACCTGTTCGTAGAAATGATATCCTACGCCCAACGGCGGGTACGAGGAATCGCAGATCTCGAGAAACGGCACACACCCCTCCAACCCTCCTGATTCTCACCTCTATCTATCACCTCAACTCATACCCATAACATGAACTCGAAGCTAGAAACTGAACAACCACACTAAACTTGTCTTGCAAACTAAACATCCAAGGTTACCCCCTCGGCCTCGGCCTCCTCGACCTCCTCTCTCGCTCAAGCAACCCGCTCTCCTCTATCTAGCCCACCTGCACCCTCCCGCTCCTCCAGTTCATCGCGCAAACACTCTGGCGGCACCTCTTCGGCCGGCCCGCCGACGCACTCGAGCGCTCCGAATCCGATGCCTCACAGTACATGCTATACGACAACGAGCTCCTAGTAAACCAATATATCTCGTTACTGTGAGAAATGTCGCACCTCAATTGTGCGGCGTTTGTGGCGGGGATTATTGAGGGGGTGTGATATGGTGCGGGATTTGCGACGGAGGGGGTGAAGCGCGCATAGTGTAGCGGAGCAGGAGAGGGGTGGGGGTGGGGGGATGTGGCCCGGGAAAACGGTGTTTTGATCAAGTTCAAGCCGGAGGTTTTAGAGAGGGAGAAGATTTTGGGGAGGGGTGGGGTTAGAGGCTAGATGAGAGGAGGGATGATGGGGGAGGATGAGTTGATAGATGGTCGATAAGAGAGTAGCTGCATTACATGGTGTTTGGGAGATATATGGATTTCCTGAAGTTATAATTTTCAGAACCTGAACTCTGTTCAAGCTGGTAATGATGAAGCCCACGACGTACACATGCATCAGTATGTAAACAAATAACGTGTTCAGCATCACCAGATTTGATTAAACCATGCACAACAACTCCTGAGAGAGAATGACCCGCTCGTCTTTCAACAAGAGGGCTGGCAGACCATCTGCCCCGAGCCGAGGGCTAGGGTTCTTGCAGGAGAGAAGGGAGCGAAGGAATCGTTAAAGGTGGGGGAGGAGTCACTGAGATTCATGCCGTTTGCTTTCGTGTGCGTGGCTAACCAAAAGTAGTCCAAAGATTTTGGGATGAAGTTGATTGCGCTTTCAGTGGTGGTTCTTTCCGATAGGCTTAGGAAGGAATGGGTGTTGAAGGATAAGGAGTTGCCTGATGTCGGTGTCCCGTTGAATACCGACCGCCAGGCGTACAAGGGGCTGTACCTAAGGAGGAAACTAGAGGTTTAAGAATGTTTCAATGAAGCTCTGATACAAAGGAAGGGAGCTTAATATCAGCGACTGTATATGAGGATACAGGGGCTCTTTACTAAAGACATACGAATCACCTTATTAACATCTAATAGCCCTATCGAATATGCAATCAACAACTATATTCGCCGCACTCGCTCTTTGTAGATACATCACTTTCAAAACCCAAAATGGTTGTTGACCGCGGTATTAGAAGAATAGTGAGTCCCCTTCACGTACGAGCACGTACGAGAAGCGGTGAGCATTGGTTACGTCACTCGAAAGTCTAGCAATTTTACTTAGCCATCTTAGTTGATTGTCCAGGGAGCGAGAGTCTAACAATAAGGGAGTCATATACTACGTCTTTCACTTTACTTCACGCTACTAACATACACATAGTTTCTCGTATACACGTCTCCTCTTATATATGACCTGTTCTACTTCCCCTCACCTATAACAATCGACCAGCGTTCCCAACCGTACGTAATACGTTTCAACTTGCTGTTTTTTAGGCTGTAACTTCTTAGTTTGTTAGTACATTTTAACATAAAGGGAGAATTTAAATCTACTTATAGAGTGTAACTATTACAGCTTACAATCCTTCTATGTTTTAATAGCTTATAAGACGTTACAGTGTATACAGTCTACTAAGTCCCTTATTTTACTATAAATATAACCTTACTAGAGCTAGTTTTTTTATAGTTAGAAAGCTTTAATTATTAAGCTAAAAAGCTTATTTTTATTATAAGTAATAGTCTTTTTACCTCTAAAAAAAGACCTCTTATAATTATAGCTTATAAAAAAGATAAATAAAAAGTTAAAAGTAATTTTATATAGTATAAAGTAAAAAAGTTGTCTAACTTATTTTTACTAAGTAAAAAAGTTAGTAAATAAAAGGCTATTATTATTAGCTATAGTAATGTCTTTACAGTAGCTATTATAGTACTGCTGCAACTTTATTATTTTTTACTACTTTTTATATAAGCAGCTGCTAGTAAGAAGGCTTATGTTAATAAAAAAAGTTTTTTTTAAAGCTTTTATTATAATAGTTACTACTAGGTAACTTGCGTTGCGTAAGCTTTTAGGTAATGTTATTATTATTAGCCTTAGCCTTAGCCTTTACATTAACATACTTTTAAAAAATAGCCTTTATTAAAGCTTTAGCTTTTTTATATTATATAAAGTGCTTTCTTTAGTAGTTCTTAAACTAAATAAGACAAATTTAAAAGTTTAAAATTATTACTACATAGTAATAAAATATAAGTAGCTTAATAATAAACTTTTTTTAGTATATAAGCAACTTTTTTATGCTAAATACTACACTAAATTTAAAGTAGTAATTATTACTTTTACTCTTAAGTTTATTACTTATACATAAAAGCTTAGTATAAAGGTGTTATAAGTTAATAATAAATATCTAAAAAGAGCTATAAAAGCTATTACTTTTAAAGTGTTTTATTATAAAGTAAAAGACTTTAAAAAACTTATAAAAGTAATTAACTTTTTTTATTTATTTTTAGTAATAACTTTAGTAAAAGTAGAGTTACTAAAAATAGTAAAGTTTATAAAGTTATTATTAGTGCTTTTTTACTTATGTATAAACTTAGTAATAGTGTCCTTAAGCTTAAAACAGCAGAGGAGCATAAAATAAACACTATGCTAGTGTATACTACTATTTTATATAAGATTAAGTGTTTTAAAGCTCTAGAAAAGGTTATTATTATTAAAAGTAGCCTAAAAAGTTATAAAAGCTTCTTATTATTTATATAATGCTAGCACTATATTTATAAAATTATAAAGTTTTTTAATAACTTTATAGTAGTAATAAAGGTTAAATTATTTTTAAGAAGCTACTTAAGTAAGCTTTACTTTAAAAGCACTTATTTTTTTACTATAAATAACTGCTTTTACTACTAGCTAGATTGTATAGCTAGCGCAGCGTATACAGTGCTTAGAAGTAAGAGGCATATTAAGATGTTAAGTAAAAGTAAAAATAGTCTTATTATTATTATTTAACACATTATTAGCTACTAAATAATAAAATTTTAATAAAATTTTAAAGTTATTAATAACTTTAATAATCTCTAGCGCTTAATTTACTCTAGTATAGTTACTATATAGGTTATAAAAGCTAATTAAAATGTTATAGTGTTAGTTATTAACATCTACGCAGTATTATTAGTTAGTGTTTAGTTTAATAAAAAATACTAAAATACTAAACTAATAAGCTAAGATATACTTACTAATAAAGTGTAACACTACACCTAAAAAGAAAAGGTAGTTTAAAGAAGTTTATATATTAATGCTTAATATAATTTTGCTTTAGGCTATTCTTAGCATTATTTAAATCTCCTGCTTCTGCTATGTATATCCCTACTACATGTAAAATAAATATGTAGTGTTAGATGCTAGAAAGGCAGTAAGAAGATTAGCTTTATTCTAGGTAATAATACTTTAAAGTTTTACTAATAATGCTGTATAAAAAAAAAATTATAAAGTATTACCTAGTTAATAACTACTGCTTATAAAGCTTTCTCCTACTAAACACTATAAAAAATAATATATAACAAGCCTATAACTTTATAAGCTGCTTTAAATAGACTTAAGAGAATTCTTAGCTTATTAAGTAAAAAAGCGCTTTTACTTTTTGTAGAAGATAAAATAGCCTAGTAGTAGCTGTTTAGAAGATTAGATAAAGTAACTCTGCTATCTAAAAAAGCTAAAGGCTCTTCTTATATACACTAAGCTTTAGAACATAATATCTCTAGATCCTAAGCTGCGTCCTAGGCTCTAAGCCTCTAGTCCTAGGCTCTAAGCCCTAGTCCTAGGCTCTAAGCCCTAGCTAAGGCTCTTAGTATACGCGACACTTCTTTTACTAACATCTATCTAGTGCTTCTTCTTAAGGTAGTAGATAATATAAGTGTAACTATTAACTTTCTTTACCTTTCTGTAATTACCTTTAGCATAGCACTTCTTATAGAGCTATAACTTTATTCTAGAGGCGTCTTTTTTATTATTATACACTAAATTAGCTTTATAAAGCTATATCTAAAATAACTAATAATTACTATATAATTAGCTTTTATGCTTTACTTAGTATCTAAGCTTTTTTAGCCTTAACTTTTTATTTTTTATTTAGACATTATTCTACTTAATAGTAAATAATACTTTATTATTAAAAGTAGAGTTGTCTAGGTACTTTTTTATAAAGGCTAAAAAACTATTAAATAGTGTACTATTATAAAAGAAAACTAAGGACTTTAATAATAAAAACTTTAATTAAGTAAGTTAATAAAAACTAGCATAATAGGTAACTTTAGTTTAGTAGAAAAAGCTAGCTTAAAAGAATTCTTAGAATAAGGCTATACACCTGCTATACTAAAGGAACTAAGACATCTAGCTTATAATAAGTAAGTCTATAAGCAATTATAATTTAAAAATAATATTAAAAGTAAAAAGTTAACTAAAATTATAAAATTTTACACTTTAATCTTTTTTTTTACTAGCTTTTTAATTATTATATAAACTGCAGAGTTTTTACCTAATTATTACTCTAAAAACATAACTTTAAACACCCTTCTAACGCGTCCCTATAGCTGTCTAATAAGACCTTATATTACTAGGAAATATTATCTCTCTAAGACGTATTACAGTCTGTAATAGGAGCTAGCTCCTACGTACGTTACAGCTCACACTCCTCCTACGTTTCAACGGCTCACGTGACTGCTACGTTCACGTATCTACGAGTCGTAGTACGTACGGTTGGGAACGCTGCAATCGACCTTCCTTCGCTCTCTCACTTTCTCGACTATCAGCAAAGACTTCTCGATACGGTACCTTCTCTGAACTGCTCCCCGTTCTGTTCAATTGTCAATTATGCGCACGATACTTGCGTTATCGAAAATGGTTAGGAAGAATTTCTCTACGCGTAAGGAAGAGATGAGGGCTTCCTTTATGTATCAGTCGCTCCACCAGGACGTCGTGAAGGCAGTCTCCGACAAAATCGCGTCGACGAGGTTCCACGAAAAGAGTAACAGCAGAGATTCTAACAACGAATACTCGACCCACGTTATAGGCCGCTTCAAGTGCAACAACAATGCCTGTTCCAAGGATGGTTGGAGCAGCAAGAAGGTGGCCATATTAATAAGAGGATATCCTGGGAATGGGTACAATGCTGTGGTGTTCAATCAACGTTGCAAGTCTTGCAACAAGCTAGGCACCCTAACACTGGACGAGGAATCATATGTCGATCGAGTCGCATACAGGCTCAAGAAGTGGGCAGGCGTTCCAATGGAGCGGCAATACTATACCCCAAAAGGAGGCCTGCCGCACGAGAGCAGCCTTGGCGAAGGTTGTAAGAGAGGTGTTTGTCGGCAGACGAATGGCTGGGTGTAATTGTTAGACGCTGCGAGTCAACCACTACAGGTAAACTATCTTTCATTAATCCCTGGTGCTGTTATGACCCCTATACTTAAGTTTTATTGTCCTTGAAAGCGTGCTGAACAGAGATGCTGACATTTCCCTATAACAGAGTGCGAGTCTTAGAAAGACCGGTGGGTAATGCTTAGGCTCAATGGACAGTTCCGGGTGCATGCGATACTCTCCCTTCTCACCTGTCTAGGATGCAGCTGCTATCTTCACAGGCTGCCCTAAATGCGTAGGGCATTCGATGCGGTGGAAACCTGCAATGCTTGGGTCTGGCGGTTTCTATGGCGGGGATAGTTGGCCTACTTATTCACGTCATCGCTGAACACGTTGACAGATATGAGGAACTGGGCTAGAATACCAGTTCATTTCAATATTTAACTGGAAAGAGTAATTCACGCTGCTGCGATCGGTTACAATACTGGCTTGATTGAGAAAGCGTGCGCGTTACCTTCACCCTATTCAGACCCTGTAGATCGAAGCCTACCATATGCTAAGTTATTGTATCAACTTGCAGTTTTCTTTCTCGGGAGAAGGCTACGCACCCTTTAGATGCTCATTGAAAAGGGAATCATCTTCAGGTTTGAATTTCCCGTAGGTAGCTTTATTGATATCCTCCTCTAAGTATCCGGATATGCTTTGGCCACGAACGAAGTCGGGAAGGTTTTGAACGAGGAAGTCAAACCGCATCGCAGGCAGTTTAGTGACTTCCCTAATGGTGTACAATAATCTGTAGAATGTTAAAGTGTTAAACTCTATGTCCAATATCATGTTTATCGTGTTTGTTGTTCGTGTCCACGGTTTGCCCTCTCAAATACAAACTTTATAAAATGCTTTACTCAAAGCATCGCCATGCAGCGTGCGTATGCATGTCTGGGTGAACAGAGAGCGAAAGCACTGACCCCACTGCTTTGCTTATAGTGCCAAGTCCGGCAATACTGTTATCTATTGTGTGCGTTAATATGTGCAATGTCTTACCATTCGCGTTGCGCCTTTTCTGCCTTACTAAATCTATAAGAACTTTGACTAAGCAATAATTTACCTCTATCGATGCCTAAATATTTGTTATTTTAGTTAGATCTTAAAGCTGTACATACTTCTTAATTAAGAAATAATAAAGCTACATTGTAAAGTTTTAAAATAAAGTACACCACAGGTAAGTTGCTTACACACCTAAGTTTGTAACGGCGCAGGCAAGACAATGGGTCCGAATGCGGTGGGAGTCCACTCAGAGGCATATGGGAGTGCGTGGGGACTCTGAACCTGGGAATGCCATTGACACCTATAGGCCTTGTACGAAAGGATATCAGAAAACTACCGAGCTAGCTACGGGGGCGAGGTGCGACTAAATACATGAGGGAATAGGGGTAACAGCAGGGGTCGGGGCCAGGTCGAGGTCGGGGCCGATACGGGGGCCTTCCGGGCCATCCGAGATGGAACGATTCATGAGGATCGTTACAAAGTTACTTATTTTTACTAAAACTACACTAAACTACTCTTTCTACACTAATGCATTTCTAACACTAACGTACACCACGAGCGAGTTGCTCACACACCCGAGTCGCTTACTTTTGCTAAGACCACAATACAACAAACTCTATTATAGCCTATAACAACCTGCTCTAGCACTATATAGTATAGTACAGCTTAGAATATTATTTAGAGACTACTTTTACTTCTTACTTATACATTTGCGTGTTTTGCCTAGTCTAATTGCACTGTCTGAAGCGCCTTTAGAATAGCTTACCTACTTTAGCTTACTGTTACGGTCTACGGTTGGACCAGCGTAACTCCACCAGCAGTGCTCCACAATCTAGATGGATTGGGACAGGGCTCGCTTATGAACCAATCGGAGGACACGGACGCAGCACAGCTGCCCGCGGTAATGGAAGAATGTGTCATCTAATGAGGAGACAGGCCGCGAATCTAGGGAGCTCTAGGGAGCTTATAGAGCTCCCCTTAGCAGGCTCCTGTAAACTCCTCCTGCTCCCCTTAGCGTTACTAACACATGTATATAGTTCTCTTATTAAACAACCTTTAAAAGGTGTGTTTAATGTTTAGTTTATTTTTTATATAAACTAAGTAGCATTTAGCTTTCTAAAAAGCTGCAATACTATTTATATATCTTACACTATATATACCTCTAACTTTATCTAATAGGACTGTTTAACTTAGCTTTTTTACTGCTGCATTAAGGGTAAACTATAATCTAGTCACCCTACTCCCCTCTAATAGCCTATTAGCCTGCACGTAGGACTGTACACCCTACTAGTTAGCCTCTACTACCTGTCCTACTTCTCTCTAGGAATATTATAAGACCTAAGTGCTTTTATAAAGTAAGAATTATAACATTAAACACTACTTTCTTTAAAAAGTATAGATACCTCTTAACATAATTTAGATTCTAACATAGCCTACACAGCTTTATTAGAATCTATAAGAGTTCCTACCTAAAGTAAAGCTGTCTTAGTAGAATAGATTAATTTAATCTAGGATAATATTAAGAAACTTTGTTAGATTAGTAAAAACATTAGTAAACTTATAAACTTTTAAAAAAAAGTTACTAACTTTTACTAAAAAGTAATTAAATTATAAAACTTTTTTAAACTTTTAAGCTTTTAAAAAGCTACTAACTACACTTATTAAATATATAAACTATAAGTAAAGCTAGCAAAAATCTAAAACATCTTAACTAAAAAAGTAAGTATTATAGCTAAAAAGACTTTAAGGCTAGCCTTTTTAAAGCTTTTTAAAGAATTACTAAAAAACTTTTAACTATTCTTTATAAAATGTTACCTTTATATATAATATAATAAAGAAGTATTTTAGATAAACGCAGAAATAATATTCTAGATAGGACTACACTTAGAAGGCCTCTCTGTAATTTAGTTCTAGCTTTATGCAGATAATTAGATAGACTTTAAGGTAAATAGCGCAGCACTTACCTCTAAAACTAAGAAAGTGTTTAGCAGTGTTAAAAACTTTAAAAAAGCCTTAACAGCTATTTATAAAACCTTAGATAAAAAAAATTATAGCTAATAAATTAAATACTATAAAATAAAGTACTGCCTTAGTCTAAAACTATATAGCACACTTTAGAGAATAATTAGCTATCTATAGATAAATAGACTAAAAAGCCCTCTATTACATGTTCTATAATAAACTAAGTAAAATAGTAAAGAATAAATTTATGTATAATAATAAGCTAACTACTTTTAAAAACTATATTATATAAGCAACAACTTATAACAACTAACATAAGAAGTGTAAAAGAGAAAAAAAATAAAAAAAAATAAAAAAAAACTAAAGTTTATTTTTAAAAAAAAAACTTTTATAATATAATAAAAAACTAATAGACCTTAGTTACATAAAGTATATATAAAGCTCTTTTTTTAAGAAAAGCTAAGTCTTAGAACATAATAAGCTACCTTTAACAAAGAAATAATAAAAGTAGCTAGAGAATAAAGCCTGCTTAAACTATAAAAAAGTAGAACATTTCTACTAAAATTACCTACACTTTTAAAAAAAAAAATACTACTATAATAATAAAAGATATTACTACTAAATACAGCCTTATAAACAAGAAAATATTAAAAAGATTAAATAATAAACTTTACTAGTAATATAAAAAAAACTATTCTTTAAACAGCAGTTTTAAAGTATACTAGAAAGTAGCTATTTAAAACTTTAGTAGCTTAGATATAGTATTATAAAACTTTATAATTCTTAAAAGATATAAAGAAGAAACTTAGATCTAAGAATATATTATAAATTGTCTGTACGCAGCAGCAGCGTCGCGGCCTGGATACGAGCGATCGCGCACGAGCAGGATCACGTATCTATGTCACATGATGCTCGTGCGCGAACCTCTGTGCGCGAACATCTAGATATCCCCCTTTTCCTCTATATAGAGGAAAGAAAAGAGTAATAGAACTAGAAACATGTTACTCTTACTTTACCTACCTTATACACTATACATACTATACACTACTCTTACTTTTGCTACTTAAGTGCTTATACTATAAGTAGCTAGCTGTTAGAGCCTATTTAACACTAATTAGTAGTTAATTTAATTAACTATAAATTAGTAAAAGTAATAATAAAGTACTTACACCTTATAAAGTACTTTATTTTATTACTTATTTCTTAAGAAAAGTAACAGTAGAGTACTTACACTTTATAAGGTACTTTATTTAGTTACTTATTCTTTAGAATAGTAAATTAATCTTTTACATTATATAGTAAGCTCTGCTACTGTATAAAGTAAAAAGAAGATAGTGTAAGACACACACTAAAGCTACTAAAGCTGCACAACCTAGTAGCTAGACAATAGCACATTAATTCTTTACATTATATAGTAAGCTCTGCTACTGTATAAAGTAAGAAGGAGATAGTGTAAGGCGCACACTAAAGCTATTAAAGCTGCACAACCTAGCAGCTAGATAACAGCAGTACCTACGTAATCTACTAGAAAAGTAATTAACTATACTATTATAATAAAATTTTATTAGCAACTAATAACTCTATATAATAATAAAAAGAATAAAAAATAATTTCTATTATATAAATAACTTATAAAGGACATAAAGATATTAGAGGTAACACTATAAAATAAGACTAGCCTAGAGTACTAGAATAACAAGATTAACATGTTAGAGGCTTTAATAAGCCTATAAACTTAATTATATATAAGTTATATAATTACTAATTTATGTATAATAACTTAAAAAAGTGCTACTTTTCTAAGTGTGTATATAAAAGATTTTAAAAAATAGACACTATAAGACTTCTTAGCACTTAGCTGCATGTTTAAAAGAGAGCTTATATAAGTGCTAGAGAATAAAGGAATTACACTATAGCTAAGCACTAAAAGTACCTAAGCCTAGAAGCTGTATAATATAGCATAAAGAAAAGTAATTACACTAAAAAGGCTTTATACATAACTTTTATTACTATATAAGGCTCTACATAGAAGCAGACTAAACATAATGCTGCTATTAACACTAAATATACTAGTATTACCTGCTTCTACACCTTAGCTAGCACTACACTAATTACTGTATAAACAATACATGCTACCCTACCTAACGCCTGCTCCACACCCTTAATCGTACACACCACCGCCTGCAGTAGTGTATGCACCACTAATACTACCTGCACAATTTATACTACATTATAACCTATATAAACTTCTACTCTAGAGGGAAACTACTAAAGAAAAACTTCTAGTAAATAAGATTATATAATTCTAAAAAGCATAAAAAAAATAATAACTATATAAGTTAACTATATAACATTTTTATAAATAAAATAAAAATTTTTATTAATTTATGTTAATAGCTAGATATCTAGAAAACTTAGTACATAGACATCTTTTTAGATATTTTAAAAGGTTAGGTAAATATGTCCTATATATATAACATAGGCCTTAGACATAACTAGAAGCATTTATATAACACCTTAAGTAGTTACTTTAACACTAATATAAACTATAGCTAGTACTAGACAGACTAAATAATAATAACCTTTATATAATACTAATAAAAAAACTCTAATAAAAGTTTACATAAAGTCCTTAAAACAATAATTAATAAGCTTATACTTATATAAAGGGCACTAAAAATAGAATTCTAAAGAGATGTTTTACTACACACTACTATTATATAAGCCTGTTAAGAATAACTAGAACTAAAATATACTATATTTACTATTAAGCTCTTATGTAAAGCCTTATTTAGTAACTTATAAGCATTACTCTAAGTTACTATAAA